AACTTGAACATCACATATAATCACATTCTTCTCCATTTTGATAATAAAAACACATCTCTCATGGAGGTGGTAAATCCTAAAAGTATAAATAAAAAGAATAGAGTAATTTTCTCCTCCCATACACAAATAGATAGAGAGAATATACTATATTCCCTTGATAGTATACTTCTCTCTATTTTTCATTATCAAAAAGAAGGAAAACAGAAGACGAAAAATAAAAATAAAAAATAAATAGAACATATAACATATTTGAGCAAGTGAAATGAACGAGAAAAACACATTCATATATTAAAGAAAATAAGAAATATAACTTGAAAAGAAAAGAATAATAAAATAAAACAAACACACAAATAAAGTATCCAAGATACAATCATAAATAAGAAAAAGATTAAAGTATCAACTTAGAATTTATTCTTTCCTGCAAGAAAGTTAATTCTCGATTAAAATCATATTCTAGTTGTCACCGGTGTGAATTCTTGACTGTTCAATTGATTTTTTTTTGGTGGTGGGGGGTGGGGGGAGTATATAGAAATACTTTAACGCTAGAGGTATAATGGTTTAAAATATTTTAATTTATGCTTTGATTTAACATTTGTGGTCTGTATTATTGGGATGTTATCAAGGTTTTTGGCTTCTTCCCTTAAATTCGATCAAAACCATCCAAATTGGCATATGTCAAGATATAATTTGTTTTGTTATCTAATAGTCCATCTTAGGTTTCCTGGCTTGATAAGATGCTTTCTAGGGCAGGTACATAAATGATGCACAAGTCATAAAACCTTTTGCTCAACAACAAATATCAAAATAGACATTTTTCCTTCTTAGGTTTTCGCTATGATATCATTCTTATCACACTTATATTTATCTTTTGGACTTTATGACTAGGTTGAGCTCCCTCTCATTGGGCCATTTTTGAATTGAAACTGGGAAGGAACAATTACCTCCCATGCCTACTTCGGCATATCCAGGGGTTGTGCATGCGATTTTGTGTTGTTTATAAAATGAAATATAATGTCAAACCCAACACACATTTTATAGATGCAAATAGTTCAAATTATAGAGACTTAAACACTTTCCAAACTATAACTCAAATTTATTTAAACACTGCAAATATCCCATAATAAACTGGAAGTGATATTTTCTAAGCTTGATTATATTCATCGAAATATATTGCGGAGCATCTTTCTCCGAGCTTCCTCGTCTTCTTCATTAGCTTCTTTTTTCTCATGGTGTTCATGGGACGTAACACCACCACCAGATCCCACGACAGCTGCCACCCCAATCTTGTCTTCTATCTCGGGCTTGTGAGCATTTTCAGAGTCTTTCTTAGTCTCAAGCTTCTCATTTGTCTGTCATAAGCAAAAATCAATCGAAGCATTCAAAGCGAATCATATTTACTTTGTGTTAGACACAACGATATATATAAAATTGTAAGAAAATAATACCAAGGCATTAGCACCAGCAGCTACAGTACCAAGCTCACCAAGGTGTTTTTCCTCAGCCATGATGATTGGATTATGGAAATAACTAATTAATAAAATATGAGCCAAAGTTATGAGTTTATAGAGGAATTGGAAAGTTGTGAAGGACTTGTTACCTATATATAATTTGAAAAAGGTAGATCATGTTAATTTTGTGTCATTGGTTTGTAGCTTTCTTGGTGAGTCATGAATAATTTTCTTGGCCTCATGTTTCTCGTGCTGTTTAGGGATGCTCAACTTTGGTTTATTCACATAACCGATCTATATCTAATATAAAATCATTTATCATAATCAGTAATTATAACCAATCCATACAAGTAGTTTTGTTTTTACAAAATCGCTTATATCCATAAACAAATTTTATACATGATTTTAGAGTTCATATCCAACTTTTAACTTGAAATCGTATCTGGATATAAAAATTTATTTTTTAAAATTGGATATTCCTTTTTTTACCACTAGTTTTTCAGCTAAAATTGGTTTTTGACATTAAAATTGGTTGTTTTTACATTCAAAAAACTTTTCATGGTTTCTTGGAGCCTTTAGAACAGGTGAGAGAAAGTATTACATCATACTAGTTCCATTAATTTTTTGGTAACTCATATCTTTAGAGAAGGTAACTATTGCACAGACAAACTTGCTAACTTAGGTTTATATCTACAAGATTTTACATGGTGGGATGTAGTTCATAGGGATATTCTTATGGATTTTGCTAGGAACTCCATATGACTCCCATGCTATATAGAGTGTGTCATTAAAGGGTTTTAGTTTGGTCTACCCCTTCTTTCCGTCACTCTAACTACATCTTTTTCTTTCTAATATATTTTGTAATGTTTTTGTGCCACCTTTTTTACATAAAAAAGTTGTCACCTATCTATTTCTTTCTTTTTCAAGTTTTCTCATATAATAGTATTAGTTTAGTTATCTAGGTTCTCACGGTATTGGTTCGTAGCTTTTAGAGTTATTATGTAGTCAATATTTTTCTAAAGTTTTCGTAAGAGTTTAATTTTACACACTTA